ACAGAGAAACCCTGTCTCAAAAAAAAAAAAGAAAGCAAACAAACTGTATCAGGTCAGGCATGGCAATGAACTACTGAATAAACCTTCTACTTGGGAGGCAGAGGCAGGAGGATCATGAGTTCAACGTTAGTCTCAATTACATAGTAAATTCAAGGCTAACCTGGGCTACATGAGACCACAGTTCAAATAAATAAACTAATAAATCAGAAAAACTAAACCAGAGAACATAGAAGACTGACAAATGCCACACTACCCTTACCTGGACACCATAAGGACACCTAACACATCAATGGCAATATCCCCACCAACCTGACATCTGACCACCTGGTGTGTGCCTTGAGGGACCTATAGTAAGAGATCACCCAACTCAGTCCCCTACCTGACACGGCCCAGATCTCCATCTATCTGTCCATCCACCATATATCTGTGTGACCCTACCCTGCAGTAGTTCTCCAGTTGAGTTTAACATCTTCTGTCTTACAGCTGAGATAGTGTTACCTCTGCCTATAACACACACACACACACACACACACACACACACACACACACACACAGAGAGAGAGAGAGAGAGAGAAATGGATAGATGTAATTACTACATATGTAATATGTGACCTGAGAGTTAATATGTCATTCAAATTGATAAAAAAAAAATATAACAAACTATGCCTGTCCATAGTCGGCGACCAAAAGGCATTGGAATTACTTGGCAAATTACAACCATCAAAGTGATGTGGTTAAATTCTGCTAAAAATAAATGCTGATCCCTTCTACACCCTGGTTACACTCCATACCCTGCCCACAGAGGTCTTATCCACCCAGGGCTTCCCTGCCCCAAAACAAAATATTGTTTGAATTACTCTGTTACAAACTAATAAAAACTTTTTCACAAATGACAAAATGATCACATGTATGCGGGACATTTGAAGAGGTGCATAAGCAAGGCAGTGACACACACACACACTGGCATCTCTGATGAACTTGTTTCCCGGATTTGCATCTTCTCAATGTCTTGGTATTTTGTTAAACGTCTGTATAAATTATAAAAACTGGGTATTCTTCCCCTAAAACACTTCTGCAATTGGGAGTTCTTTTTCCACTTTTCCTTAATAAATATATATTTCTTTTGCTAGAAAGGAAGGAAGGGAGGAAGGTGGGGAAGGAGGAATAGAAGGAGAAAGAGGAAGAAAGGGATAGGG